TGCTGTCCCCCTACATCGCCGCATCCGCCGAAGAAGCATGGTTCCTCCCTCGCAGTCCTGACCAATGCAATTTGCAACTTCATCGTCCAAAGCATGCGCTAGCCTTGAATCTCCCGCGATCGTACCTGGCCTATCAGCAAGAACGCTTGCTCTGGCCGCGACATTCGTAAAGAAGTGGAAATGTGCAAGGATTCGAGATCCATAACTTATCACTACCGCCTCGCGGTTCCGCGCGATCGCCATAACCACAGCGGCAGCGTACCATCGCCCATGCCGGGACGTACCATCGCCCATGCCGCGACGTACCATCGGTTCAACTACTCGCTAGTACCTTCAGTGGTCCTAGTAACGGTGTTACTGTATCGAGAGTACAGCCAGTGAATTACTGTATGAGATTCACAACTGTACTTAGCGCACCAGATGCTTCCAGGCTTCTCGGCACACGGGCGAGTTGCTGCAAACAGGTCCTAAGAGAAGCTGCTTACCGCATATTCACGTATTTTCGTATTCGTAGCCGGGACTGTATTCGTACCACGAAGAAGCAGGCGCCGTGAGATCAACTCAACAGACCAGCTCCCCCACGACCAGCGGCTATGGAGTATCGAGACGACGAAAGCCCGTTGTTTTACTCCAACGATGGAATGCTGTCCGCTTCAGAGCTGTTCCTGTCGTCACCCGCCTTCGCCGGCGACGGTCCCGAGGGTACTCGTAATGGTGCGGCCAGCTTAGTAGGCCCTTTCGACGGTGCTATGGTCTCTCCCGAATGGATGCGATGCGACGTCGACCGCCCGTCGGCGACTTTTGGCGACGTGATGAGCGACGCGATGGGCGACGAGCGCGAAGGGGATGCTATTCTTTGCGAGCGACAGCAGTCGCTTGACCCGCTGGCCGAGATGCTGCCATTTAGCACCGAAGCGTTTGACGGCTGTGGGGCCGCATTGTTACCAGAAAGTATTCCGGAATTCGGGCTCCCGTCTGTCAGAGAACCTTCCGAGAACATGTCCACCGATGTCTACGTTCCTGCCGTCGCAGCCTGGTCGCACGAAGTCGCAGTGGAGATGCTGGGTGTTCCGCAAACGAGGGTTCGTACAGACGAGTCGCCGACTGTAGCAGCGGAGGTTGACATTAATACCGCAAACATCAGCGTTCTTGACACCGACACCGAGGGCGCCAAAGACGGGTCACGCCTGAAAGAGACAGCGCAGGTTGCGGGATCAAGCCGCATCCCCTCTGGCGATCAACCAATCACTGGCGACGGGAAACCTGTTAGGGAACGACACGTGTCATTTTCAGATCCATCCACCCCACGACAGACGGGGACAGGTTCTCGAGTCGGTCTTTCCTCCTCCGCAACTTTCACGCCACTCTCCCTCCCTCCGCCATCCCCGCTCTCCCTCCCCTTCGCGTCCCCCCGACCACTTTCCGCTTCCTCGCCACTCTCGCTTCCCCCTTCCACTCTCCCCTCCATCTCTCTTCCCTCCTCCTCTCTCCCCCCGCCCTCCCCACTCTCCCTCCCATCCTCGTCGTCGCTCCCCCTCCCCTCACCGTCCGAACTCTCTTTGGCCTCCGCTTCCCCCTATCTGCATTACCGCGGGGTGCGCCAGCGCCCGTGGGGAAAGTGGGCGGCGGAGATTCGCGACTCTGCGAAGAGCGCGCGCGTGTGGCTCGGGACGTACGCCACGGAGGACGAAGCTGCTTTCGCGTACGACGCGGCGGCGCTCGCGATTCGAGGTTCGCGCGCGAGAGTGAATTTTGAAGGGAGTCGCGAATACGCAGCGCAATTCGCGGAGGTTTTGGCGAAAAACGGCGGGAAAGTCGACCGACGGCTGCAGATCGCGCTCGGGATCGAGACGATGAGGCTGATTAGGGAAGGCGCGGCGAAACACGTGGCGAGCTTACAGAGCGCCACGTCGGAACTTTGCAGGCCGTTCAGGGGGTTGAGGTCGCGGCGGAGGAAATTGAGTGTTGGGGGGGGAAGCGCGGGGGCTAGTTGCGGCGGCAGCGCGGAGGAGGAGACTGGCAGGGGCATTGGCGGAAGCATGGGGGGAGGCGGAACTGTGTCGGCGGAAGAAGCGGAGTTACGGGGAAAAGTCTCAGCGGATGTTCCTATGACGAGCGGCTCGTATTCCAAAGCGGAGGCAGGAGGAGAGATAGTGACTGGGGGGGAGGGAGAGAAGGCGACTCGAGTTGGGGAGCAGGATACGGAGGGAGGGTTGATACACAAAAAGCAGGAGCATCAAATACGGCTGGGGCAGCAGCAGCAATTGGGACAGCAAAATCAACCGGTGGAGCATAATCAATCGGGGCAGCAACAGTTACAGCAGGAGCAACCCCCAACCCACGCTGCTAAAGTTGAAGCTCAGAACGATATGATTGGCTTGGGGGAAATTGATATCCTTTTTGCTGCCCGAGGTGGGCGTCGGAGCAACCAAAGCTGCCCTCCAAACGTTCTCAACGATTGGATGGGAGCAGATGACGAAATGTTCTGGAGTTCCCTAGGGGAGGGCACCGGGGGAGCGTTTTCGGGGATGGGGGAGGGAGGAGGCAGCTACACGGGCGGTTGGGGTTCGGACTCCGCTACAGTGACTGCAACTACAGTAACGGCGGGTACAGTAACAGCTAACACAGCCGTTACTTTTGCGATTGAGGAAGGGGACACTGCAGGCGTGGGTGAGAGGGGAGTGGTGGCGAGTGGGAGGAGCGAGGGGGAGGGGCAAAATGGGGGGGAGGAGAATGAGAAGAAGGGTGGGGAGGAGGATATGATAGAGTGGATGCTCAATCAAGAGGCGCCTGCAAGCTCTCTCTGCCTTCTTACTCCTGCTTCCGCCACGGATAAACAACAAGCTATTACTGCACCTAACACTGCAGTCGGCACTACAGCTGGTGCTGTAGCAGGCACTGTAGCAGGCAGTGCAGCAACAGCACCAAGCACTAGGTGCTCCTCCAATTTCCCTGTCACCGTGGCAAGAAGTGGTTCAAGCACGGGAATGATTTTTCCAAGTGAAGCGCCCTGTAACGGAACACCAGGACCTGCTGTGTCTGTGTGCCCCAGCCCGTCACTGCTGTTACATCTCCCTGCCACTGCTCGTACAACAGTGAAACGGCCGCCAGGGTTTCATTCACACCCCCCTGCGGGTTTCAACTCAACAGGAGCAAGCCCTGCAGCTTCCCCTAAGCCACTGGTGCCATCATCCCCGTTAGGGGCATCTTCACTACAAGCAAACTCATTTCCAATACCGCGTCAGCGAGCAGGCCCATTCTCTGCAGGCCAAGCAGCAGCAGTGCCATCAACACCAGCACCAGCAACGTTGGCAGCAGCATCGGCAGCAGCAGCAGCAGCAGACGCAAAGCAACTGTCAGCAGCAGCAGCACCAGCATCATCACCAGCAGCGTCAGCATCAGGACTAGTGGCACCCACAGGAGCATCTACATTCCAGCAGATGGTGGCTCCAGCAGCAGGTAGAGCCTCCATCCCTGCTATAGCACCACCCTCACCAGCAGCAGGGAGCATTCAACAGCCACCCATAGCGTATCAGCAGCTGGGCCACCAGCAGCACCAGCACATGCCTCGTGTGCAGCAGCAGCAGCAGCACCCACCACAACAGCAGCACTACCAGCAGCAGCAACAGCAGCAGCAGCAGCAGCAGCAACAGCAGCAGCAACAGCAACAGCAACAGCAGCAGCAGCAGCAGCAGCTACAGAAACCACTGCAGCAGCAGCACACACCTCGTGTGCAACTGCAGCAGCATGACTCTCCCCATTATCCTCCCAATTACCCTCCCCAAAATATCCTTCATTCTCCTGCCAACCAACCTCACCACAACCACCTCCAGCACTCATCACTTCACCATCCCCTTCTGAACCCAGCACCACCGCTCACCGATCAATCAGGCGCCTCCACAGGATGCTGCTGCCAATGCCATTGTCACAAATCACGCCCTGTCCAATCAGCAACTGCCACATCAGTGCAAGAGTCAAGCCCATCATCATATGCTGCCACATCAGCCCAGGATATAAGCCCATTGCTTCGTGCTGCCACGTCAGCACAGGATATAAGCCCGTTGCTTCGAGCTGCTGCATCAGCTCAGGATATTCGACCTATTCTGCAGGCTGCCACGTCAGCAGCTGCTGTATTTTTGCGACTGTCTCAACGAACGATGTTCAACCAATCTGCAGCCGCAGCAGCAGCAGCAGCAGCACCAGCACCACCACCACCAGCACCAGCAACAGCACCACCACCAGCACCAGCACCACCACCACCAGCACCAGCAACAGCACCACCACCAGCACCAGCAACAGCACCAGCACCAGCAGCATTAGCAGCACCAGTAGCAGCACAAGCACTGGGAGCAGCACCAGCACCAGCAGCATTAGCAGCACCATTAGCAGCACAAGCACTGGGAGCAGCACCAGCACCAGCACCAGCATTAGGAGCAGCAACAGCAGCAGCAGCAGTAACAGCAGCAGCAGGTCCCGCATTGCAAGACCAGGCTTGAACTGCATGAGCTTTTGAGTGCTGCTTCAAGAGCTGCTACCAATGCTGCTTCTTCGAGCTCTGCTCTTGTTGCTACTTCAGCTGGTTTTCCTGGTGCTGCTGCTGCTCCCAGCCCAGCAGTCACACTTCTAGCATGTGCGAGACGCAAATCGGCCCAGTAAAGCATACTGAGATACGAGATAGGTACCGCGGTTACCAGTTGTCAGAAATTCGCCTATACATCATGATGTCATCGAAATCTGTGAGCTGAATTGTAGGGATTTTTGCACAGGTACCGCAAAGTGCCACCTATAGGACCCGCCGGTAAGAGGGTCCCCCGGGACTCTTGAATGGGTAGGGGGACTCTTATAGTGGCAAGTTTTGTGAGGACCCCCCCTTTGTAGCTAATCATTATAAGACCCCCCCCTTTCCATATAAGGCCCTATTGAGTTTGGTGCAGGTAACATTGTTATCGTTGTTACCTACCGTACTACATACACATCTCAACACCTAGTGGTCACTACAACTACGGCTTGGTCATGTTAGATTCCAACAAGCACTTAGTGTTCGCGTCCTCCTCCAGCCCACCCTCCGCCTCCTCTTCCTCGTCATCCACATCGTCGTCGTCGTCGTCGTCGTCGTCGTCGTCGTCGTCGTCGTCGTCGTCGTCGTCGTCGTCGTCGTCGTCGTCCTCCTCCTCCTCCTCCTCCTCCTCCTCCTCCTCCTCCTCCTCCTCCTCCTCCTCCTCCTCCTCCTCCTCCTCCTCCTCCTCCTCCTCCTCCTCCTCCTCCTCCTCCTCCTCCTCCTCCTCCTCCAGGTCCCCGGCATCCTCAGCATCCGCAGCCTTTGCCGCCTCCTCATCCTCCGCGGTTGTGGCGAACAATGGGTTCACCCACTCCTCCACCTCAGGGGCGACGTGCACGTCTTGTGCCACCTCGACCTCGCCCGCATCACGCATGTGGGCCAGGACGAGGTGATCTTGCTTCCCATCGACCGAGTTGCTGATGCCTGTTGTGAGAAACGCCTTCTCAATAATGTGCTCGGGGACGGCCGCCCAAGCACTCGCAATCCACTTGAGGACCGTCTCTGCTGGCGGCTTCTTCAGGTTGCCTGCCATGTAAACAGGAAAGAACAGGCACGGGGCGCACACGGGGAGTTATCATAAAGCCAACAACTAGCTACAAACACGCCACAAGGCGAGGTACTAAGCACGGCACCGAAACTCACCGGCTTTCGTGAATGTGTTGACGCCAAACTCGGCAAACCAGTCATTGTAGAGCTGACGGAGCAGTGCCTTGAATGAGCGATTAACGCTCACATCAAGGGGCTGTAGCAGTGGGGTGCAGCCCCCGGGAATTATGGCCGGAATTACCCGGTTCCACTTCATGTTGGTGAGAACGCCGTCGGTGAGGTGGCCCCGGTACGAGTCCACGACGAGAAGCGTCTTGGAACGCCGGATGCCACGCGGAGGCTTGATGAACGGCAGCAGAACGTTATTCACCCAATCATCCACTAGCTTTGCATCCATCCAGCCTTTCGCCTACGCACGAACAACGACTCCTGCAAAGAAAACAACGCACGTGGTTAGAAATCCGCCACGAAGAGAGACTACCGTGATGGTTACAACTCTAGCAACTCACCTGCAGGGACCCGAATTTTCGGGATTGTTTTGCGCTTGAAGATAACCATGGCGGGGAGCTTGCGCCCGTCCGCGGTGATCCCGAGCATGACAGTCACCCTGTCCTTCTCGTAGCCTGCGCTTCTGACGTGCACCGTCTTCTCTCCGCGGTGATGCAGGGTGCGCTCGTGCGGCATCTCCAGGAAAACGGGCGTCTGGCCGGCGTTTATAATGTTCCATGCGTCTATGCCATGCTTGATTATGTTCCTCCTCGTGAACGCTTAGAACTTCTCACACTTCTGCCTGCACTCTGCCACGGACGCGGACAAGGCGGGAGAAGGACATTAGTGACGGCGGTGGGTTAAGCATTAGTGTTACATGTCGCCAAGCAAACTATACAAGCACACACACGGAGGGAAGCACAAGATAACTCACCCGATGCCATACGCTGACCCATCTTCGTCTTCACGCGGATGGAGAGGCCCAAACGCTGGCGGAAGCGGAAGGTCCACCAGTTGGACGCCATCCACCTCACATCAGGGTAATGCGCCTTCATGTAACACCGGCTCCAGTGCTTGATGAGACGAATAGGCACGGCCAAGGCACGTCCGCGGAAGTTCAGGAGCCGCTTGTAGGTATGCGCCTCCATGTCGGGATATTTCGCCTCAAAAGGGATAAGAGTCCTCACATATTTAGCGAAAAATATAACATATTTGTCTATTAACATATTTGGCGAGACGTACCGCGCCTTGAAGACAGGTGGAGAGCCCGGCGGCCGCTTCACCCTGAAGATCCACATGCCACTGACGATGTTCGCCCCAGGAGGGGGAACCGCGTCAACGTAGGTGCCTGTGGACTTCCAGGAAGCCATCTCTGCATCCATAGCTGCCTGCCACTGAGAGGAGTAGGGACCCTCTACGGCCTCCGCGTAAGAGCGCGGAGTCGGGATGTCTAGTGCATCCGGGTCTCCCTCAGGAGCAAGCAGTACAGACGCGAGATGAGGTGAAGCAGCAGCCAGACACTGGAACTCCTCCTGCCTGTCCTCTAGGACGTCCGTGCCAAGAGCACACTCACCCCCGACGGACGGAGAACAGACAGACGCAGACTCAGCAACAAGACTAGCAGCGTAGTCTAGACGACAGCGAGCAGCAAAGTCGACAAGCTCAGCGACAAGAGCAGACGCAGCAGCGGACTCAAAAGAGGGGTCAGTGACGACAGTAGCAAGCAGACGCGTGACAGTAGGACTGGCAGCACGAAGGGAGTCCGACTCTGGGTCGGTAAGCACAGGAAGGGAAGACTCAGGAGGAGAAGGCAAAGGGGCACGCAGAGGAGCAGTGGACGGACGCAGAGACATGCGGTGCGTGCCAGGGACAGGAGGAGGACGCTGACGCGAACCACGACCACTAGCGCGAGCTGCACGAACAGGCGACGCGGGACGAGACGCAGGCTCACGACGCTCAGCAAGACCTCGAGTAGGACCAGTGTAAGGAGAGGGAGCAGGCAGTGGGGAGGTGGGCTCCAACAGTGACTGCGACTGGACAGGCTGTGGACACTCTACCGGAGGAGAAAGACCAAGAACCTGCTGCAGGAGCGGAACGAAGTACGGCCGAGGCCGCGCGGCAGCTCCAGACTCAGCAGGGACAGGACCAGCACCCTCAGCGGCAGCACCAGCGCCACCAACACCTCCAGCGGCAGGACCTCCAGCAGCACCAGCAGCAGAACCACCGCCAGGACAGACAGCAGTAGTCTCAGCACCAACACCCTCAGCAGCTCCAGCTCCAGTAGGACTCGCAGGCCCAGCAACTCCGGGACCGGCGGCACCAGCACCCTCGACGGTCGAAGAAGCTCCAGCTCCAGCAGTACGCCTCCAGCGGCGAGCAAACCACTCGCGCAGCTCCTGTGGAGAGAGGGGCTCCCGCCGAGACGCAGCACCAGGAGAAACCCCAGGCTCAGCAGCAACAGACGCAGCACCCCCAGGCTCAGCAGCTCCAGACTCAGCACCCCCAGGCGCAGCAGCTCCAGACTCAGCACCCCCAGGCTCAGCAGCTCCAGACTCAGCACCCCCAGGCTCAGCAGCTCCAAACTCGGTACCCCCAGACTCAGCACTCCCTAGCTCAGCAGCTCTAGGCACAGCACCCCCCGGCTCAGCACCCCCAGGCTCAGCACCCTCAGCAGTAGCACCCCCAGGCTCAGCACCCCTAGTAGCAGCACCTCCAGGCTCGACACCCCCGCGGACAGCACCCCCAGAGTCAGCACCCCCAGGCTCAGCACCCGCAGCAGCACCAGAGTCACCAGTAACCTCGACCGGGTCAACTGCGTCTACCTGGGACACACCTGAGGGGGCAGGAACCTGAGGGGGGAAGGGGTCTACGGGGGGGGGAACCGGTACAAGGAAGTCCGGCGGCGGGGGGAGGGAAGGAGTGCGGTAGGGGAAGAGGCGGTAGAAGGGGACTGACTTGTCGAACGTGACGTCCTGGGAGGACAGAACACGACGAGAGGAGGGGTGGTAGAACTGCCACCCTGCAGCGTCAGGGGGGAAGCCAAGGAAGACACAGGGAGCAGCACGAGGGGACAGCTTGTCCGCAGACAAGTCGCGGACAAACGCCCGAGATCCCCAGACACGGAACGCAGACGCATCGCCGACCTTTCCCGTCCACAGCAAGACTAGGGACATCGCGGGCCGAGAGACCCTGGGGTGAAGGTTGAGCTGATGCGCCGCGTACCGTACCGCAAACGGCCACAGAAAATGGGGGGCAGCCGCATGTATCATGGACGTACGAGCGACATCCATGACCATGCCAATGCGGCGCTCAGCAATCCCATTTTGCTGTGGAGAGTCCGGAAGCGTGAAGGTCTGGCGGATCCCCCGTGCACGACAGTAGTCTCGCATAAGGCGAGAGGAGAACTCCCCGCCTCGGTCAGAGTGCAGACGCAGAACAGGAAAGTCCGAGCCGAAGCTCCTCCTGAGCTGGAGACGAGCCTCGCGGATCCAGTCGATCAGCACCTCAGTGACAGCACCCTTGCTGCGCAAGGGGAAGACTGTGGTGTAACGCGAGTAGTCGTCAACCACCAACAGGAAGTAGCGCTCGTGACCCTGCCCACGGACGGGGGCTGGGCCCCACACGTCCATGTGAAGTGTCTGCAGAGGAGCCTCCGTCGGGGGAAACTGGGAGGAGTGAGGAGCAGCCCGGAGGCGCCCCTCGACACAGGGGACACAGGAAGGTCCTGGTCCCGAAGGAAGGGGAGGGAGAGACTGGGGAAGACCAGAGACAAGGACACGGGAAGCCATGCCCCGAAGACGGGGCAAGGAGGGGTGGCCAAGACGGTGGTGCCACAGAAGGGTCTCGTGAGACAGGAGGCGACACGAACAGGGGGCAGACTCAGGGCCAGACCGGGACGCAGCAGCAAACACCTGACCTGACGCAGCTACCTGACCAGACGCAGGGACAGGAGGAGACGCAGTGGTCAGGGTGTAGAGGCTCGACCCCGGCCGACGCGAGAACGTGGCCAGGTGCCGGCCGGTGCGTGCGTCCGTGCAGTGGGTCACCCGCTGACTCGCAGGAGTGAACTGGTGAACCCCCGCATCCTGTAGGTCCGCACCACTCACCAAGTTCGTCGAGAACGAGGGAAGGTACAGACCAGACAGGGTGCCCGAGGGGGCAGCCGGACACGGGAGGACAGTGGAAAAGTGAGAGAGGACAGGACCCCCAGAGGGGTCAGCCAGGGAGACCGCAACCGGCCGGCCAAGCGGCGTGAGGGTGGTGCGGTCTTGAAAGAAGGAGCGAGAAGCCCCGTAGTCAAGTGTGAAAGTGAGGGAGGACGAAGGCGACGCAGTACCTGAGAGCGCAGTCTCACCAGTACCTGAGAGCGCAGACGCACTGGCACCTAGAGCAGCAGCCTCACAAGCACCTAGCGCAGCAGTACCAATGCCCGGGTTGGGCGGGAAACACCGGTAACAGTCACCCTCCTCACTAATAGTCACAGCATACATAGCAGCAAGGATAGCATCAAAGTCAAGATCAAAGATCGCTACACCAGCCCTAAGAAGCTCATCCCAGCGGGGAATCTCACTAGCCTCGGGGAACTGCTGACGCCAAGCGTCCGTCAGGCGGCCAAAGCAGCGCTGGGTGGGGTGGGCACCCCCACACTGCTCACCCGCGCGATCGCCGGAACGAAGGACGTAGGTAGACGGACCAGCACCCCCACCCCTCTGACGCCGAGCGTACCACTCACGGAGCTGCTGGGGCGGAGGGATGTCCCGCGAACGCTGCTGCTGCTGCTGCTGCTGCTGCTGGCGCTGACCGCTACCAGCGCCGCTCCGCTGCGAGGTACCACCCCGACCAGCTCCACCCCCTCCGCCACCACCGCCTCCTCCTGCGCCTCCTCCGCCGCCTCCACCTCCACCGCTGCCACCACCACCACCGCTGCCTCCACCACCGCCGCCTCCGCCGCCGCTGCCACCACCACCACCACCCCCTCCACCACTCCCGCCGCCACCCCCACTCCCTCCGCCGCCTCCACCGCCACCTCCACCGCCCCCTCCAGCTCCACCCGCACCCTTGCCCCCCTTGCCCTTGCCAGAGCGGCGTCTCCCGCTAGGGGCAGACGCCGCGCCGACCGACTCAAGACCAAGCAGGTCGGCAGCAGCAGCAGAGGCAACAGAGGGCAGCAGGGGGGAAGGAGAGCACCCCTCAAAGATGGGGGTGCGAGGGTCACCACGAGAAGCTCCTACAGCGACGATGCTCTTCTCCGCCGCTAGGAGGGCCTTCTCGAGGAGGTCGACAGTGAGGGTGGTGGGACAGACTGAGAGAAAGTGGTCCCTGACTACGCGAAGAGAGTCAGGGAGGCGTGCGACTACGTAGTAGAGAGTGATGTACATGGGGGGGGGGTTCTTGGCGCAGAACTCAGCAGGAAGGGCGGCGCGGTAGCGAGTGTCACTAGTGCGGAGGTGCGTAATGAGGTCAGCGACAGTGGGAAAGGCAGAGAGGTCAGGAAAGAGGTAGGGAAGCATGAGACGGCTCAGTGCAGCAGTGGCAGGGGAAGAGTAGCGCGCAACTACAGCGTCGTACAAGGTCTGAGCACTCTTGTACTGACTAAAGTGCGCGCGCTCAGAGGTAGGGAGGTGGCGACGCACAGCAAGACGTGCAGCAGCATCGCGAGTGGCCCACTGAGAGCAAACAGTGGGGTCAGCATCAGCAGCAGTGGCAGGAGAGGCGCCAGAAGTGAGGTCAAAGAGAGAAAGGCCGTCTGCTCTATCGCACTGTAAGGACAGCTGCAGGTCGTCGACCCAGACCTCAAAGTCAATGGCGCGACCCTCAGCGTCAAAAGCTAGGACACTAGGGGTAGCCATGACAGCAGTCGACGGTCTCACCAGACAGGACGGGTCGGGCCGCTCAGTAGCACAGCAGCACAGCAACACAGCAGCTCACCCGACTCAGCAGCAAC